TTTGAAGCGGGAGATTTCGAGGATTTGGTCCCTCAACCAGGTTGACGTGGTCCCTGTGGTTGTCGGTGCCCTGGGAGGCTTGGTGGGGGAGACTCCTCAATGCCTTCGGACTGTGCAGGGAGGAGACCTGGCTATTGTGCAACAGGAGGCTATACAAGGTTCGATTAAAATACTGAGAACTATCCTTAACATGTAGATGCACCTCTGCTGCGTTTGCATGTTCAATAGCTAAGAGACTTGAATAACGACTGATAAAGACTGATATTTCCTTTGTTACTACTCCCTTCATTGGTTGATGTATTTTGCCTGTCGCTGCAAATTCTTTATTATTGTTTTGATGTTGGAGTTCGGATTGAGTTTCTTTCCTTTCTTCCTCTTCCTTCAACTAGTTCTTGTCCCTTTGGTTTTTAGGTTTTATTTATTTATTTATTTTTGTTTTTGTTTTTTCACTTTCTTTTTTGCTGTCCCACCCATGGAAATATTTCCCGGTGGGTCTGGCTTATCGCCTTCGAAAGAAGTGAATAAAGGAGAAATAATAATAAAGTTTTAGTTTGTAATTGAAACACTGTGGTATTTCTGTGGGTATTCGTATTTGATCTTTCTGTGGGTGCGCATTGGAGGTTGTGCCCAGTGATGAGCTTTGCCGGCCTGAATTTTTCGCCAACTTCTGATGCTCCCCTTTCTGCAATACCTGTTGCCATGATACCTCTGAGCTTTAATGCCTGTGATGGTACATGCGCCTTTCTCCCTTCCTCTCTCTCTACCTTACTTTTTTCCATATATTATTCCGTGCTGCTTACCTTTGGCTATGATAAGTCCGGTGAGTTAGTGTAATACCTCCAATTTTTATTTTTATTTTCAATTTGGAGTGGAATAAAGACTCATAATAAAGACTCATAATAATAATACGTATTCGCATGCAACGACGCAAATCCACACAATTCAGTAGACACTTTTTCTATCAAACGTTTTCTTTCCCTTCTCTTCAGGATAGTACAGGGAATGTTGGAAATTAGAAAAACACATAACTATATAGAGAATGAAAGAAAGAAAAAGTCAACACTTCAACATAGGTGTTAAAAATGATTAAAGTGTTAAAAACTCAAAAACAAACAGCTGCAAGTTGTAGACAAACACGTTGAACACATCAGGGAACACTTGTCACACTTTCACGAGGTGTGACACCAAACAACTGCAACGATAACACATTCTCCTTCTGTACACATAGTTCTGGATCTAGTTTACGAATATACAGAGCTTCTAACACAGCAAGATGTAACTTAGACCTTCCACGAGTCAAAATCGAAAAGATATCATCACTATACAACTTACGACAACTAGCACTGCCCGACAAATGACGCTTGATGGACGATGTCCGATCACTTAGCTCTGTCACCTTCGACGCCTGCCGTTGTTCTCTTCCGTTAGGCTTGTTTGGTTGGTTGCTCCGGTTGTCTGCGTCCAGTGTAGATGTACGCATGCGCGCCTCCGCCTCGACGGGCGGGGAGCTTGGCCCATCTCAGACAAGCGTGAGGAAGCGAGGGAGACCGTCTCGAAAACCACCCAATGTGACACTGGAGCTCATAGACACCGGAAGAGTTACCAGAAGCAAGGTGAAGAGACGGAGTACTGGGGATCTGAATACGTCGATAATGGAAGTGACAACAAAGATCAACAAGAGGAAACGAGGAAGACCAAGAAGTGACACGAAAACGGCCATGAAATCAACAAAAAACGGACATGAAATCAACGGACGTTGGAGGTGTGGACCGGAGCAACCAACCAAACAAGCCTAACGGAAGAGAACAACGGCAGGCGTCGAAGGTGACAGAGCTAAGTGATCGGACATCGTCCATCAAGCGTCATTTGTCGGGCAGTGCTAGTTGTCGTAAGTTGTATAGTGATGATATCTTTTCGATTTTGACTCGTGGAAGGTCTAAGTTACATCTTGCTGTGTTAGAAGCTCTGTATATTCGTAAACTAGATCCAGAACTATGTGTACAGAAGGAGAATGTGTTATCGTTGCAGTTGTTTGGTGTCACACCTCGTGAAAGTGTGACAAGTGTTCCCTGATGTGTTCAACGTGTTTGTCTACAACTTGCAGCTGTTTGTTTTTGAGTTTTTAACACTTTAATCATTTTTAACACCTATGTTGAAGTGTTGACTTTTTCTTTCTTTCATTCTCTATATAGTTATGTGTTTTTCTAATTTCCAACATTCCCTGTACTATCCTGAAGAGAAGGGAAAGAAAACGTTTGATAGAAAAAGTGTCTACTGAATTGTGTGGATTTGCGTCGTTGCATGCGAATACGTATTACGAAACTGTTTTTCCCACCGCCTCCAAACTACTGTTTGAATAATAATAATAATATCACAGCACGCGTACGAAGGCCAAAGAACAATGTATGAGAATGCACTGAAACTAAGCCAAGTCCGCTTCTGTCTCCAGTCAACAAAAACTCATCCATAAACGATGTCTGATCTCCATTTCGACTTGACCGCTGCAGCAAATGCTTGGGCTCCTTCTAGATCGCTGGCATTCTTCAAAGGGATGTCCACATCCACGGTGAAAATTACAAAACGGGCGGTCGTGTCATCGCACAGGCACAGTTCTTGACCCGTACACGCGGTCACGTTTCGGAGAAATTCCAAGGCAGGTACAAGGTCGCTTAGAAAGAGACTGGGGGAGATACGCACGTTCTTCAGAAAAGCTGTATACTAGGTGTTGGCGGATAATGCCGGCATTATATCAAGCATTATACGCCACCCGGAGCATTACGAGCATTATAAAGCATTACGAGGCTACAAATGGCATTATACGACGTTCTACATGACTGCATAGTAGATCTAGCGTTGGTCTATACAAGCGATAGACCACCGTACACATCATGCATGGTAGATCTACAATACAGATCGTGGCACGCAGTGCATGCCAGGCCCAGCAGTAGTGCTAGCTAGCTGTGGTCCAGCACAGTGTGGAAACTCTCGCAGAAACTTCCGGTCCCGGAAGTCTATCTTCGGCCAGTTACTTTTTGTCATAATATTTTTTGAAGATCCAGGTAACAACGCCGAACCAACGAAAGAAATGTGAGCCAGCATGGAACGGTGGAGGTGCGCACACGCACACATTCCAGACCTTACCCGGTTACCGTCCCCAAAAAAACATTCTTCATCGAAGCAAGAGTCCATGTCTTTCTCGAAGAGTAACGCTGGACTTTCACCGGACATTGACCATTGTGTAATACCAGCTAACTAGCAGCCAACGCTGATGGCTGACTAGCCGCGATGCAGTTCTTGGGATCGGGAGGAAGCTGGGCTTTCTCCAGATGAGCTTTTGGCGGAGTCCTCTGATGATAGTGATGTCGTCAAGTTGGAAACTGCAGATCCTGCCGCGATAGCGAGGAAGCGGTCTTTTCAGAAAACAGCTATTATCAAGTCTGAAAATGTTTCCAAAAGGACGCGAGTAGCTCATGGACAGAGCACTGAAGTGGCCATCAGTGCCGAAACGCGGGTGCGGGAGTTCCCAGATGAGCCGCTCAAAAGCGACGGTGGCAAGGTAGTGTGCCTGGCATGCCATACAACATTGTCAGGGAAGAAGAGTATAATCATGTCCCATACTGCTACCGCGAGACATAAACAAGGAAAGTCCCGTTGGGAAACTCAGAGGCAGAAGCTGGTCAAGAAGTCCTTCTTGGCGTATCCTCTTTGTGCCGCCTCAATATGACTGTATGTGTTTGTACCTAGCGTACATGTTTAACTGATATTGTATTACGTGTTTATCATAGCATGGGTGCAATATTATAGCGTTTTTCTTAGCCCAATACCGCAAGGTTCAGGTGTTTATATTCCATCCGGCGGAGCATTATCAGCATTATTTGGAGCATTATATGGCCTTTTGTGGAGCATTACTGAGAGCATTATATCCAATATTACCCAGCATTATCCGCCAACACCTACTGTATACCCCACCCCTGGCCACATCTACGTTTCCCGTTTAATCTGCTCCCGCTTTCACCCAGTACAGACACACGGATCATTATGGCAACTGACAAACTTCCTTACGTGGACGTAGACGCAGCACTTTGCACCATAGTGTGATGACAGCCTAAGCTAAGCACCTCCCTCATTCATATTGGTATGGTAATACTTAGTATGTTGCTTCATGAGCTGAGCATTTGAGGATTTTGCACACGCGCTGAACACTGCAGTCCTTAAAGGGGAAGTTAAGGCAAAAATCAAAATTTCACCAGTTGTAGTCTTTGGGGTGCTGAGTCGAATGGTCTTGGTCCGAGAAAGCTGAGACGCTCCCTTCCTACTTGAATCCCAATCGAACTCGCGCACTTCCACCGAAACTGGGTGACTGCGCCCTACGAGATGGGGATTTGTATGCAAAATGTCACTAAAAGCGCCATTTCGTTCTTATAAAAGCACGGATGACCGCGATTGGCCCATATGTTGTAGTCTTTTGGTCGCTGAGTCGACTGGTTTTGGTCCAAAAAGGCTGCGATGCAGCGTTCGCCCCTAATTCCCAATCGAACATGGTTGAACAAGCGGTCACGTGCTCCTGCGTACACCAGTCACCTGGTCACCCAGGAGCACGTGACCGCTTCTTCAACCATGTTCGATTGGGAATAAAGGAGGAACGCTGCATCGCAGCCTTTTCGGACCAAAACCAGTCGACTCAGCGTCCAAAAGACTACAACATATGGGCCAATCGCGGTCATCCGTGCTTTTATAAGAACGAAATGGCCCTTTTAGTGACATTTTGCATACAAATCCCCATCTCGTAGGGCGCAGTCACCCAGTTTCGGTGGAAGTGCGCGAGTTCGATTGGGATTCAAGTAGGAAGGGAGCGTCTCAGCTTTCTCGGACCAAGACCATTCGACTCAGCACCCCGAAGACTACAACTGGTGAAATTTTGATTTTTGCCTTAACTTCCCCTTTAACTGCCCAAAGGAGAGATTGGGTATGATATTGCAAGGAACAAGAACATTGCTCACCATCTGTTTGGGACTCTTCCTTGATCGCTCTCTTCGGAGATGAAGCTAGTACACAGTAGGAAGAAAAAAAGGTAGAAATCCACATTCAATAAGGTACGTTTGAACGGAGTCAACCACTGACAGAACACCCAAAGTGAACATGCAGTGGACCTACCCTTGCCTGGGCAGCGGACTAGGGTCAGGCACTACATTTACACATATTGAGACCAGGCACTGCATTTCCACACATTGAGACCAAGTACTGTATTCCCACACAATGGGGCAATGCAAAAATTGAAATAGTATTATGCACGCGTCAACATCCAAGATAACCAGTTCCCAGCGTGCCTCACAGCCTCAAAGGACACAATACTCGTGCAATGTCCTCACACTTCTTACCCGTGCTCCAGTCATCGCATCGACGCTTGAGAGAACTTCCCTGTCGTGCCGCTTGCATGTCGGCGTTGCCATTGCCTCTATTCATTTCCTCGGGTGCAGCTTCCTTTCCTAGCTCCAGCTCTGATTTTAAATAGAACACAACAACACAAGCTGGTCTTCTTTCCCACTACGACTAACTTACCATTTTACTGCAATCCAGCCGTGTTAGATTTCACTGAAGAGTAGAGTTGTGGCCAAAGAATTTCGACCCGTGAGCCGAAAGCAGCGCCAAGGCTCATGCGGCCCTCGGATGTGTGTTTGGACCGTGCACGGTGTAATTGATATCCAAACGCCGTGCTGCTTTTGACCTGCGGGTGGATTTCTTTACGGTCACGGCTGTACTTAGCACCAAGCAGCACTCTTTGTGAAACCAACCTTGCAATGGAAACTGTTCTACGAGGAAATTATTCACCACCCTTCATTGCAGCGAAGTTGACTGTACATGTGGAGCTCACGCCTCCTGCACATGTCTAGCCCTGCCGAACTTGACACTCACTGTTTCAGTGTAATGTTTTTTATTTAAAAAACATTACACTGAAACAGTGAAGTGAAGAGAGCATGTCTGAGAATACCAAAGTATGTGTGCAAGTGGATCTCTCCGATTTCGCTGAAAATTTGCAGGTAGGTTCCCTTTGGGGTGTGGATCGATTATGCAAAGCCCTTGAAAAAGTTTCTGAAGGGAACCTTGAAATTTGCATACCCCTCAAAAATGGCCGAAATATCACATTATTTATGGGTCTAGAAACGAGTCACGCCACAGCGTATACGAACAAGCTATGAACAAAACTCCATCAAGCCAACATTGCCTCACCTTAGAAGAGTTCCTGGAGCAGTACCGCTTAGCCACGCCAGCATCCCAGAAGACGAGGTCCATCACCCCCTGACGCCACAAATGATCGTCTTGAAGATAGCCAATTTACAAGCGCTGGCAAAACAGCCAGCTACGTCCTCAATTGGCCAGAACTATACACCAGCAGATAGTAGAACACCTCTTCTAGCGCTGAGGACATGTCCCCCATCTTCCTTTTGGGGTTTTCTTGAAATAAACTTTTTTGAATTTTTCCACTCGACCATGCTGAAATACGGCCAAAGTCATACCTGCGCAGGAAAGCTCGCCACTCCGCGACGTCTCCTCAGCAATTTCTACTCCAACACTACTCCCAAGGCCGCAGAACAACGTGTAGTGTTGACTCTGACAGGGAAAAGCAGCGGTGATCACTTGTCACTCCAAACGACAAGCTTCTCCTTGCGCCACCAATAATTTTTTGTGCGACTGTTGCTGCAAAAGTGACTGAAGGCCTGAGCGCAGTTTTTGAATTTTATTGCAAGATGCACGGTGAAATCACGTGCCTTGTGACGCAAGAATGCCAAGTCGCGCGCGTGGCCCACGGCTCACGCGATTTCAGAGTCACATTTGTCAAGTGCGCTTGTTACTCGCCTTGAACGCCCGTTGGTCTGGAAGTGATCACACGTCACTTGTGTTCAAGAACACGCTGACCGTGTTGTAGGCCTACGAACCGGGACTTTCCCTGACCATGTAGGTCGAAGCCCAGTGAAATTATAGCAATAAAAACTGCTTTATGGCAGTTTTCTAAAAAAGGTTATTGTGTTCTAGTCCATGAACCCCGTCTAAAAAGTAAGAAATTAACGAAATGTGATAGCCGAAAATTAAAATTTCACACAAAACCTCACAATAATCACGACACTTGAAGATCTAATAGTACGGCTTTCAACACTTGTTTATTCCGACACTTGTACTTGTACAAGTACTTGTACTGCGCCAACATGCTTGCATGTGAAAGAGGACCACGAGGGGAAAAGGTCGTCTTGCATCCTGTGTGTGATTATTGTGAGGTTTTGTGTGAAATTTTAATTTTCGGCTATCACATTTCGTTAATTTCTTACTTTTTAGACGGGGTTCATGGACTAGAACACAATAACCTTTTTTAGAAAACTGCCATAAAGCAGTTTTTATTGCTATAATTTCTTTTGTTTTTTGGCTAAAGGATATTACCGGTATTATTTTTATTTTATTTATTTTACTAGGGTGTTTCCCAGGGAGTAGTACAATACCGGTATTGTACTACTCCCTGGTGTTTCCCACAGACCTATGGTCTTCTTACGGGAGCCCCTAGAAAGGTTAAGCATGAACGAACAAATCGGCGATAATCTGTACAAGAGCGAACAGTGGAAGGCAGCATATTCCACCGATCAGAACCTATAATTGTGTCTCCAATGGAATGCCCTAAATGATGGCCTACATGTAGCGACTCTACATGTTATTATTATTATTTTACTAGGGTGTTTCGCACAGACCTATGGTCTTCTTACGGGAGCCCCTATGGCTATGTACATGTATCATATCAATTTCAATACCGTATTATACGCATTGATGTGCAAGCCTTTTCTTGCAGAAAATGGAACTAGTCTTGCATACATGTATTCATGTTCTTCTGCAGGGGAATCATATGAGTAGTGGCGGTGATATTTTTTTTTATACGCAGGTCATTCTGTGGATGTTGCAGAATTCCATGACTCTGTCATAAAATTGTCTTGTCTTTCAGAAAATTCAGATGTCCACACCCTAAATCACATTTACATGAGAATTGTAACCAGGTGCGCGCCGCAGATGTTTTTGTTGATTCTGTGTTTATAATTGTAGTCATGGGTTGTCGTGATAAGGTCATCCAGCATCATTATTGTAGTGAAATCGTAATCATGTTGATGTCTATACAACTTTTGGAAGCAGTTCAATGACTTCAAAGTGTTACAAGTCCACGATTATCTAAAACGACACAGCAAAGTAGGAACAAAAAACATGTATTAAAATGTAAACAAATACATTGCTGAGTCCGACACCTCGTTCTAACAACTACACTGATCCTGAGGATATAAGGGGCAAGGATACATGTATATGGTTGGAGGTACTGAGAGATAAACAAGGCACTCCATAATAATAACATGTTACACGACTTTGGGGGAGTATGAATGATATCCAGTCAAACCTCTTTAGGACGAACATCAAGGGACCGATGGCATTTGCTCTGTGAGTTTGTCTGAACCCTATTTTTATAACGAGTGAATACAATTATTTCTCCAATACTGCAATAGAGACACGAATAGATTTCTTCTACAGCGAAAGATTCTAAGCCAGACCAAACCATTGACTCGTCTTTTATGAAACAAATGAGTCACTGAACCTTTCTTTAGCAACATGACGGCAACTGAAACAACAACAGAGAAAATACGATACATGTACAGCACATTCTTGCAGGTACAACAAACAGATTGCAGATCGTAATTCTTGCTCTATCGGCACGCAACTTTATTTGGGGCAGTGCAATCTCGGCGCTACTCACAAATCAAACAGCCCAGACTCGAGTAAACAAATCCAATCGTACGAGATTTTTACGAGACTGCACCCATTGGCTTGTTTCGTATGAAGCAAACAAGTCACTGAATGCATGAACCTCTCCATAATGGAGATTTTCCCTGATATGCGAATTTATTTTGAGAATTGCACACTTATTCAGAGAGAGAGAGAAAGAGTTCTCAGGTAATACACTGTAATCTAGCCTGAAACTAATCCCGTACTAGTCCGTAGGAAACTAGAAAGGCAGCAGCTTTTATAGCGAAGGTAGAGAACTAAGGTTGGTAAGACAAGGATTACGAAATCATCCTTCTACAAGTTCTAGAATAGTGGAGAAGGTAAACCTAGATCATCATTGCTATACATGTAGATGAAGTGAGCATTGCGTAACAATGACTAAGCGAGGTGTTCTAAAAGGTGAGATATGCAATTTAGTCAGCAGCATTACTCATCAGGCATATTACTGTAAGGTATGGAACATTCCGGAATCAACGACGTGATTGACTAACTAAAAGGAAGTGGTAGAAGTACTAGTTCTAGAAGTGCTGACAACAAGGTTACAAGCATGGGAGATCTAATTATAGCTTATGACGAGGCTTACATTTACGTGCATGTACTACAGTACTAGTAGTCGCAATCAAGTCATGTACATGTCATAATGTATGCATTTCTACCCTAACACAGCTCTCCCCTTTGCGGGCGCATGTCCTCATGCGAATTAAAAGTAAGAGGGGACATGTACATGTATAGCAGTAAAGAGAGAAAAAAATTGAAGGCAGTAGTAATGTATGAACTTGATGAAGGAAGAAACATTACGGGTACTAGACTATATCAGTTAGCATTTCCTCATCTGAATCATTAATATGCAGTTCGATTAGATCTTGTTGAGTCGCAGAGACATCAGGTGACGATCCACTCGTAGGTTCGGGAGAGTGATCCTTGGGAGGTGGTGATACCGGCGTAGGGGTGGCAGACGGGTCCTCCGGCGGCGGTGATTTCCGCTTTGCTGGCGGGGATGTTGAGGATCGGCGAGCCGGGATGGTGCGGGCGGCGCGGCGGGCTCGTAACCCTGCCACTGTCAGTGGTGGTGTCGCCGGGGTCGGGAGAAGGGGTGGTCGAGTGGGGGGAGAGTGGTAGCACCGCGTCGTGCTGAACCGTGGCGTCTGCGTAGGCGTGGCCATTGCTGTTACTAACCTGGTGCAGCATAGACACGGAAATAGGCAGGAGGCCGAATATAAGAACGAGTGCGTGTTGAGGGTTGCGGAACTGGTTGTGGTGGGGTGGACATTAGAGATGGTGGTGTGTACTGCACAGGTGTGAGGTATGGACGAAGTCTGTTGCGGTGGACGGTTGTGACGCGTTGCATGTGCGGGGTCGTGTGGAAATGGGCTTGCAATGTGTATGTAACGGCAGAAGGACAATTGATGATTTTCCAGGGGCCGGTCCAGTGTTTGAAGAGTTTCGGTGAGACATGAGGTGGCGGGTGAGCATGTAGCCAGACAAAATCTTGATTTTTGAACTGGGAAGCTGTGGCTTTGCGGTCGTAGCGGTCCTTGGAGTACTTGTGGTGTTGATCGGTGTGTTGACGAACGGTGTCAAAGGAAGTCTGAAGGCGTGCTTGGAGATCAGTGACGAAGGTTGTGATTGGCTGCGGTGCATGTGGTTGTGGAAGTGGGTACATGAGATGGAGTGGCAACGTAGCTTCACGGCC